GGGGTGTAATTAGGAATTTAGGAGTTTCCGAAAATTAGGGGTACCTTACTCGGGGGTCCTTATAATAAGAATCCTACTATTTAGGGTACTATATTAAGTAGGGACTCCCATTTGAGGAGCTTGATGCGTCGTCTAGATAAGATAAGGGCCGGAGTATTTACATTATTCCGCAGCCCTTAAGTTTCATATAGCCCCAAACCCTGTTCCAATCATTGGAGCCTTTATTACCCACAGACCTCTTCCAACGTCGCTGCTTTTTTAATTATTAACCAAGAATCTTAAATCCCCCCTTTGGCCTCCCATCAGGAATGTCAGCGAGTTCTGGATGTTCTTCGTTCTAAGCTTTCAGCTGCTCGTCGGCTTCTCCGTGCGGGCACCCAGCGCCTGAGGGCTCGAGGCTGATCATATGGGTGGCTGTGGAAAATAATGGTCCCTTTTTGGGTCCCTATTATAGTACGGCACCTATTATCTAGGGTATCCAAACAGGGACCTTAATTTTGATAACTACCCATATCAATGAACCAAAAAGCACTACAACATACCGCCCCCCAAGAAAAAAGCACCTGTTTAGTTTAGAAAGGCCCCTACATTCGGCCTGTCAAATGAGGAATCTTGAAATCTCGAAGCCTCGGCAACTTTACCTGGGAAGGGGCAGACCAAGCTCTCAGTTTGGGTTCACTTTCCCATAGTTTTTGCCTGATGCTGGTTTTCAGTTTTTCTTGTCGGTGCGGGGCGAAGATGCTGGACGGATTGGATCCTAACTTCCTAACCCTAAATGCTGAAGCATGAGCCTAGCGGCCTAGCATGTCATAGTAGGTTCAACCCGAGAAGGACTGATCAGAAGGAACTTGGGGCTTCCGAAAATTAGGGGTACCTTGTTCTGGTGTCCTTATGATAAGGATCCTACTATTTAGGGTACTATATTGGGGTCCCCTATTTTCGGAAACTCCCAAATGGTCCCAGCCAACGGACGGCTGATGTCGAAGTTACGATTCCAGCCGCAACCTTGTTGAGCCTTTTAGCCGGAGCAGATGCCCCAAGTAACAACAGCTGCAGCGGATGTAGTGAAGAGAAATCAGCTCCAGGATCGAGTTTTGCTTTCTTCCTGATGTTCGGTGAATATTGGGGCCTAGACAATTACCTATACTATTTTGAGGGTTCCTTACTGTAAGTATAGTACAAAGGGCAGTCTTCAATAAGATAGCTGCGGCCACAGCTTCAACAGCCGTGCCCCCTTCATGGGCTAATACGAGGGCTGAATGACTTGCCTGTATTATGTCCGCCATGTAGTTGTATAAGCAGAATTTTACTGCAGAATGCGATTCTAACCATCAACAGATTAAGCAGAGCTTGTACAGAAAGTTGGAGCCTTTCTTCTGCACGGAATTTGATTGACTTCAAAAGATATTTGGGGGCCGCAGGCCGGTGCACTCTGTATCCTGCAAGTTTTCTGCAGTTCTGTGGGAAGGGACCCTACCCCCACCTAAGCCCTGAACCGGAAGCCAGAATTACGCGCTGAACTCTCGTGTACCAACCCGAGTCGATGAATTCGGATCCCCTCTTTTCTGAAGGTCTCATATCCTTCAGGCTTTCGGGCTACTTGGAGGTTCATGGGTAGTTATAAGTAGGGTTATAAGTCTGCTAATATGAGTTATAAGTATACTTACCCTACTTACAACTCTACTTATAACTACCCATGAGCCTCCAAGTAGCAGCTTGAGCTTCAGGACAGAAGCCAGAAAGTTCCAGCATCATTATCCTAACTTAATGCCCTGAAGGGTAGTGCGTAGGGTGCTCCAGCAAAACATCATCCTAAATCCACGTCCCAACTTCTGGGGCTCACTATCATCTCCAGCTCCTAACCTGCAAAGCCCACGCCTAAACTGCCTAAGCTAAGAGCTCAGATAGTCAAGGAAGCTCTTAAGTGGAGCTGCAGTAGTGCAGGGGTTTACGGTTTAGGGGTTTGAGGTTCAGGGTTTGAACAAGAAACAATAGTCAGGTTCAGAACTGTCAGCCGAGCTGCTTCTGAGTAGGGTGTTCCACTGTAGGGAGCCAAAATGCCGATGAGGTGATGAAAGTCATCATGGGTGTGTTCCTGCAAGTGACCTTCTATGTCGCCTCCAACGACGACGTCATCATGATGAGCCAGAAAGAAAGGCGAGCATGCAATCACCCAACTAACGACACACATGTTGCAAATGAGTGTAACCCATTCTTCAAGGAACTCCTGGCTCGGATTTCAATAACCCTCCACAGGCGTGGCGGGTTTGAGGTCCAGGCTCGCATCATAAAACCAGACCTGTGGATTTCTGCGTATGCGGCTTGCAGGTTCAGTTTCGTGCACCCCTCGCAGGTCAGACATTAGGAATCGTGCAGATCGCCAGACAGGCTAGGATGATCAGACCTTCATCCTGTTTCGAAGTTCCCTATGCGCCGTGGAGTTGCTTCGATGTTCCCATGGCCCATGCCGGTCAGGGCGCTCAAAGTACACACGCAGAAGATGACTGAGCTGTTTGTGGCTGCGGACGAAAATGGCAACGGAAGACTCGACCAGGCCAGTTCCACCTTGTTGCAGTTGCCCTAAACCCTAAACCCCAATGTGAGGTTATCAAGTTCAGACCTCGGAGAAGGTTCCATTGGTCACTAGTCTTCGGAACTCTAATCCGAAGCCCTGAAGCAGAAGCTTTCAGAACATGAACCCAGACCACCCCCGGGAGGATCTAGAAAGTAACCTAATTTGGGGCCTTATACTTCTAAGGGTGCTTTATAGGAACCCCATTAAGGGATATACTTTTTGGCTCCTTGTCGGGGTCTGGGAAGTTAACTGGATTCCGTACTCGTTTTGTTTTCCTTTTTGGGGTTCCCTTATTGAAAACCAGAAAGTCGGAAAAGAGTACGCTTCTCACTAAGGGGCTATTCAAGAGCCCGAAAAGCCTTAGCCCGTTGTATCGGTGCTGTAATTGACGCATCAGGGTTGTAAGGATATTGCAACGGTTGCTATAAGGTTCTTCCAATGACTAAAGGGGGCTACTATATACAATGACTACAAGGGCTACTATATATAATGCCTAAACGGCTACTCTCAGAAGCTTTGTTGGGTTCTGAGGACTTCGGTCCGGGGCTTTCCAGAAATGACGCAGGGAGAGTCGGAGTCGATAGCGCACTTGGAGGATCATGGGACTTAGTACGTAAGGTCATGAGTATATACCTTAATTGGGGTTATAAGTAGTTATAAGTATAGTTACACTAATTATAACCCTAGTTACTAAGTCCCATATCCTTTAAGCATGTACATGGCTTTAGGGAGCAAAGGGACTGCAAAAGGCTACTCTACTCAGGAAGACCCCTCTAATCTTGAATCCCTGTAGTACCTCTGAAAGTTACCCTGAAAGAGCCTCGCAAAGGAATCCCATACCCTAGGGATCAACATAGCCCAAAAGCCTTATGTAGTATGGTCTTTGGGCCCAAAAGCCCTAATATATGAGTCCTTAGATCCCTAGGGATAAACCTCCAAAGCTCCAGGATGAGTTCGAGACCATCATCAGTGATCCGACCTGCATTGCCTGGCTATCGGCCATGGGTTTCGAGACTTCGATGCTCTCAGGGCAGGCGCGAGAGGGGGAAGCATTTAGAGCTTGGCATTTAGGGGTTAGGGTTAGCGTGTAGGACTTAGCGTGTAGAGCGTTTGGGGGAGGGGCTGAACATGCAAAATCTACAACACGTCTCAATGAACTAGTAAACATGGCGACCTCGCATGCCATGCTGAGAACGGCTCTTGCAGAAACCGCCTATGCCTGACACAATATTAATGAACGGCAAGCCCAAGTCGGATTCCCTGGCAGTACAACGGGCATTGTCGGATAGTCTGAATGTAGAGCAGCCCGCATCTGGAAACACATTCTCATCAGCATCATGTGGTTCGCGATTTCCGGTTCAGTGACAGGTGATGTCTGCAAACTTCGGCTCTTTGTCAGGGTCATGTATCCATGCTCGCGTTTACACAAGTGGAACCCTTGCCTCAGTCGCTAGTCCCGTTCAATTCTCTCTTGTGCGCATGAGTGACTGTGAGAGCCGTCGGACTTTGATTTGCAAGTTGTTGCATGTCAGTAGGATGCCAGCGCGTTTACGACGAAATGTTGTCACGCACGGCCTTTCTCTTTGACTGTCGCCCTTACGGCTCCTGAGTTGTTGATGCCACGCATGTGAAGCCCGCAGTATGAGATGCTTCAGAACTGTAGGTTTCTACGCATCTTCACAATCATCTTTAACAATCGTGAACCCTGGGATCCTCCTCATCACCCTCATCACCAGCATTAGCATCGCCTTTTGCTAGCATCACCATCGTCATCCAGACGGTTGTTCGGCAATTCGTGTACATCCAGGATTTTTGGTCTTCTGGAAGTCTCCGCTCTGCGTCAGGCATAGAAACAAGCCACAGTGCGCGTCTTGCTGTGTTTCGGCTCGGCGTCCGTCACGCGCTTGCATGCTTGTCCGGAAGCCTGGAGCTGTGAGCCTTAGGCCCTGAAAGCCTTTCGCTGTCAACTCTGACCCTCTATTCCTGCATGGAACATGCGAAGGCATGAACTTCGGACAACCGTCGTCTTGTATGTTGTGCCCCTACATAGCCTACATCAGTTCCCCAAGCCCTGAGCAGTAAACCCTATACTCCTTGACCCTACCTCAACTCCGGTGAAACCCTAGCAAACCGTCCCCAAACCCTAGCAAACCGTCCCCCAAACCTCCTTCAGCCCTAAAACCTCGCCCCAAGACCCCACTGTCACCCTCCAAAACTCAACATGGGAGTTTCCGAAAATAGGGGACCCTAGTATAGTACCCTAAATAGCAGGATCCTTATTATAAGGCCCCCAAAATAAGGTACTACCCTAATTTTCTGAAACTCCCAAACCCTAAACCCTATAGATCCCTTTAAAGAACCCTTACAGGAACCCTTATAGATCCCTTTAAAGGCATCCCCCCCCCCCATTTTCGGAAACTCCAACATGGGCCACCGGGAAGTGGATGGACGTCGCGTGGCCTTCGTGACCTGGGGATCGGTCGAGGCGCCGGTCGCCGTGATCTTCCTTCATGGGCCCCTTAAGCTGTGGATTTAGGGCTTAAAGGTAACTCCAGAAAGTTGGAATATGGTATATAGGGCAGGATACCCTATATAATTTTTCCAGAAAGGGTTTAGGATAATCATATTCCAACTTTCCGGCTTTTACTGTAGGGGTTTTGAGGTTTAGGGCATTTGGGGTGTCTTCCTTCATCGGCACCTTTGGAGCAGTACTTGCAGAATGCTTGGCTTTTAGGAAACACGAAACGATTCCTTCCGTTCAGTGGATTTTCCTTCATAGGGATATGGGCAGCTGCACCAAGCTCTAGCTAGGATTCGCAACCAGTCAAAGTGTGTTCTGCGAGGGTTTTTATCTGGGCTCGAAACCTGCTAAACCCTAAACCCTAAACCCCTAAACCCCTATACCCTAAACCTTAAGAGCAACCCTGGGAAAAGAGGCGCTTAAAGAATAATCCTTGAGAGCAGCCGAGGTTCGGTGGAGACAGGCATCAATTCGCGCACCAGGCGCAAGCTGCAGCCGATGCCGGTGCCGAGAGTCTCGCTGTGGAGTTGGCTTTGTCTTAGTCCTTTTGGGGTTTAGAGGTTGGGGCTTGGGGTTTAGGGTTTGGTAGAGCAGGTAACCTGTAACCATTTCGGGGTAGTGAAATCCCTGTAGAACCCCAATATACCCCCAAAGGTCAAGCTTTAGTTCCCCAGGAGTCTCGCTGTGGATCTGACCAGCTTGACCGAGGGAGGATCCTTCCGAGAAATCTGGGTCGAGAAGTCCGTCCGCTCCGGGGCTCGGTTTCAGAAGCTTCTAGTTTTGAGGTTACCATGAGGGTTCCTGCAAGGATTCTGCAAGGATCTAAGGTTTCGGAATGTGATGTAAGTTACCATGATCGGGATCTATAAAAAATCGTAGAGTTTCCTTATGCTGGTAGGTTAGATTCAGTTCCATAGCAAGAGCCCAGGCTCGGCCCAGCGCCGGAATGTCCTGCAGGTGGTGGACCACGCCTCTTGGTTTGCTCGCGGCAGGCCGTTCGTCCTCGTGGGCCACAGCGCCGGCGGCGGTATCGCACTCGAGAGTGCGGTGGAGCTGCAGCAATCCGGAAAAGCTCCTCTGGCGGTTCTCCTGCTGGATGGAGTGGGATGGCCAGCAACCGATGAAGTGGCGAGCAAGTTCAATGCAGTGGACACCCGCCTGTTGCTTACATGCCCAAGTCTTGAAGTAAGCTTCGTGGGTTCAGGGAGTAGCAGCGTGCCTGGAAGCAGTTTTACTGTAAAGATGCAGAATCTTGTAAGATGAAGGTTTTAATGTAAAGATGCAGAATCTTATATGATGAAGGAGCCTCTTCCGAATTGCAGTGGACTCTTCAAGATCGATCAGCCGAGGCTTTCTATCAGAGCAGAGCCCTCTGCTTGGAATAAGAACGGATGCGTCGCGGAGACGGTGCGCTGCATCCTCGCTGCTGGGGTACCCCACGGCCACTTGCTAGATGTGAAGGTCCATGGAGCCAAAATCCTGAACTCTAAACCCTAAGTCTAGGATGCTGCGACGAGCTGCCCCCTGGAAAAAGGAGCTTTAGAAAAGCACCCTAAGCTGAAACCCAGAACCCCTAAGCCTCAAACCATAAGCCCTAGAATCCTGAACCAACCATCAACGCCGAACCATCAACCCTACTTGGAGGATCATTGGACTTAGTAAGTAAGGTTATAAGTACCTTGATTGGGGTTATAAGTAGTTATAAGTATGGTTACCCTACTTATAACCCTAGTTACTAAGTCCCATGATCCTTTAAGCAAACCTAGTTACTAAGTCCCATGGTCCTTTTAAGTAAACCCGAAGGTGCATGGAGCCAAGCATGGAGATCCGATCGCACTGAAGGGCTGGATGTATGGCCTCTTGGGGTTGATAGGCAGCTCCGAGGCCCGAGATGTACTGGACCGATTGGTGAAAGCCTTCCTGTGCCAACTAGTACGTCTCCATGATGCAGCGGCGCGTGATTCTGGTGAAGCCGCTTCGAGAGCTTTTCTGGCAGAGCTGCAGGAGTTGCAGGAGTCTGGGAGCTGCTCTGTGATCGATCTGGCGCCGGCAGAGCCTGGCTAGACAGAGCGGCCTTGCTGCCCATCAGATCTCGCGAGACGGCTTGCAAGACAAAAGGCCGTTCAAACAGACTTTGTGTGTGTGCTTAGTTTCCGATGACACGAAGCTGAAGTTTGAGGTTTAATTATTTAGGGGTTCCGGAATCCTGTAAGGAGTTTGTGTTAGAGGAAACGCATGATGAATTATGGTTCCGGATACTTCGGAGCACGTAAGACGGCCAGGGCCCTCTGCTTGTGCGACATGACTGGGGTCTCCGGATTAGGTGCGAGGCTGGGTCGATTCATATCACAAAGGATTCTACAGATTCCTACATGGGAGTTTCCGAAAACAGGGGACCCTAGTATAGTACCCTAAATAGTAGGATCCTTATTATGAGGACCCCAAAGTAAGGTACCCCTAATTTTCGGAAACCCCCACATGATGACCAATACTGCCGATACTATGTCGGGGGTTCCTTAGTATAGTCCTGGTATAAAGGGCCCCAAAACCCTACGTTGGTTTTGAGGTTAGTGGGAGTGTTGCGGCCCCGGGATTATGTTTGCGGTTTCAAGCACTCTGGGTGTTTGCGGTGGCAGGATCTCTACCGGCTTCTTTGTGCAGAGGGCACCAATGACCTGTCGGCAGAGGCCCCACCGGAATTGCATTTACATCAGAATTGGTAAGAAGACTCGGGTCTGCACTTGATGCTTGAGACGGATGGTTTAGGGCTTAGGGTTTAGGGCTTTAGGGTTTAGGGTTTAGGGTTTAGGTTTTGCAAGTTGCGAGCATCGACACCCTAACCCGATCGGGAAAAGGCAGAAGTTTTCCACCCTAACCCCTGAAGCATCGCACGTCCGTGCTGGCCCTCATCTTCCCGAGCGGCCCACAGCTCCACAGGAAGCGATTCTGAAGAACCACAGCTACTTAAAGGATCATGGGACTTAGTACCTAGAGCTATAATTGGGGTAACTATACTTATAACTACTTATAACCCCAAAATAAGGGACTTATAACCTTACTTTCTAAGTCGCATGATCCACCAAGCACAGCTGCTGGGACCTAAACTACCCGAGCCAATCATGCCCGTGGTAAGCCCTCCTACAAGAAACACAGAGCTCGCCATGCAGGAGCTTTGCAAAGGCGTTGCTGAGCTCAAGGGACCTGCCCCCTGTCTGAGAGAAGATGACCGGATATAGGTCCGTGGGTGCGTATCTTTTTCGGGTGAAGCGCTTGGAATTCCTACACCGGTTGTGTCCAGCGCTCCAAATCGTAAGCCGCAGCTACGCCAAAGCGAGAGCAGAACAGTAAACACCTTCCCCAAACCTCAGGGGTACTTGGAAACGTTTGTACATGTTCCTCTTGGCACTATGACTGACTACAAACCCTAAGACACAGCTAAAGTTAGAGTTTTGCAGGGATACCAAGTTCAGTTTGGGAGCCAAGGTCCTAAACCCTGGATGTGAAGCCCCCCCTGGCTCAAGTACACCTGGGTTCTCGTCAAAAGGTTTATTTTAAGTTACCACAATCGGGATCTATGGAAAATAATATTATGGTACTTTAAGTTACCATAATAGGGATCTATGGTAGATAGTATTATTATGGTACTGTAATTTCAATCCTCTACCAAGAGCCCAGACACTGCAGCTTGACCCAAGGCAACCAGCTTAAACCTGGCGCTTCTTCAGAAAGACCAGGTTTCGACCAAGGACCGGGTTTAGGCCCCGCAAAAAGGAGCCTTTTCTTCTTTTTTTGGAGGATCCCACAGTCTAGGATTTAGGCCCCACAAAAAGGGCCCTACAATTCCTAGTTTCTGAGGATCCCACAGTCCAGGATCGGGCTTGGGGCCCTTGAGGCAACTCTAACTGTTCAGGCCCCTCCTTTTCTAGATCCAGTACCTCAGCCTTCGTAGCCCTTCAACTTATTCAACTTGGATAGTTCTCTGCATCAGGGTCCCTTTTTGGGTCCCCCAAAAAACTGCCACACCTTTGTAAAAGGGACCCTAAACAAGGAGAGAATTACCCAACTACCAAGGCCCCATATTCAATCCTAAAGCCCAAAACCCTAAACCTTCAACGAAATCCTTCTTCTCATGTTCAAAACCCCCCATTTTCGGTCGGAGGGGCTTGAGGGCTTGAGGCTGCTCCCGCTTCATCTGCAAGGGACCATCGGGGAGCTGAAACTTTAAGGGTTCTCTACTTAAAGGATCATGGGACTTAGTAACTGGGGTTATAATTAGGGTAACTATACTTATAACTACTTATAACCCCAATTAAGGTACTTATAGCCTTACTTGCTAAGTCCCATGAACCTCCAAGTAAGGGTTCCTTAAAAGGTTCTCTTCAAGGGTGCTCTAAGGGTTCTTTAAAGGGTTCTCTAAGGGTTCTTTAAAGGGTTCTCGAAGGGTTAGTGTAAGGGTTCTATAAGGGTTCTAAGAGGGTTTTGGGGGTATCATAGATATGGGTGGTTATCAAAATTATGGCCCCGTTTTGGGTCCCTAATACAGTACGGCACCTAAGACTTAGGGTGCCCAAAGAGGGACCCTGATTTTGACAACTATTCATATGAGCAAGCTGTTGTCTACAGTTCTTGTCCCAATATTACCATGTTCAACCGACCAACCAACCAACGAACCAACCAATCAATCAATCACTCAGCCAACCAATCCATCAAGCATTCAATCAATCAAACGTTCAACATTTAATCAGTCCATCATTCAATCGGTCAATCAAGCGATCTATCCATCTATATTTCTTTCTTTCTTTCTTTCTGGGTCGCTTCCTCGCCATCTCTCTCCATCTCCCTCCTCCCCTCCCTCCCCCTCCCTCCCTCTCCCTCCCTCCCTCCTCCGTCGTCGCTCTGGCTCTCTCTCTCTCTCTCTCTCTGCGCATGTGTGTTTTCCGCACCTGTGTCAAATGGCGTTGGTAGCGCGGCCGCTGCAAGCAATTAAGCTGGATGTTTCGAAAGGGTCTTAGAGGCTTTGGGTTGGAGCCTGCGCAGTGGTTCTAAGGCCCACTACCCTAGACCCTGAACCCTAAACCCTATACGCCCTTAAAATGGGGCACTCAACAGACAAAACAGAAAACTATACCAGGGAAAGGCCTGAACTGCAGCTTCCTCCAAAGCTGTTTCAGGAGCTGATGGACCAGATGGTCATGTCGATGGTCAAGCTACAAGCCCGGTTGAAGCTCCTCGGAGCAGGAATGTAAGGGATGTAAGGGCTGTTACTTACAGGATCATGGGACTTAGTAACTAGGGTTAGAAATGAGGGTAACTAGACTTATAACTACTTATAACCCCAATTAAGGTACTTATAACCTTACTTACTAAGTCCCATGATCCTCCAAGTAGGGCTGTTAGGGTCCAAAAACCTAGGGTTTGGGATCCTGTCGCCATTGGCACCTAAATCGTCCTTCCTGGTCTCGAGCGGTGTGGACTTCAGTCCTAGGTTCAACAGCATTGGCTACTATTTGCTTAAGAACCCCCCAAAAAATAAAAATAATAATCCCTATATTACCACCATAAGGAATATATTTTTTTATTTTTTGGGGGTTCTTAAGCAAATAGTAGTTGGCCTCCCAACCGACCTTAAGCCAACGCCGTGGATCGTGCGTATTGCTTCAACAAGCTACCCACGGGCTCCATAGTAGTTCCTTTTTGGGATTACCCTTTAAGATTCTAAATATGAACCACAAAATTGCCACAACAAGGAACTACTATGGAGCCTCTGGGTAAGCCCCAGATGGCGCAGCTTGAAGTCCCACGGATATGCATAAACGCCAAAGAGTACCAGAAAACTTTAACACCCTTGTTTGGGTGCCCAACAGGGGGTTGGGGGCCGGAGCTTCAGAGATTTGAGAGTTGGGGTCTGACTGAGGCTTTCTAGGGTTTTGGGTTTCTAGGCGGATTTGGGTTCAAGGATGTTAGGGTTTTAGGATTTTTGGATTTGAGGTTTAGGATTTTTGGATTTAGGGTTTTAGGATTTTTGGATTTAGGGTTTAGGGTGATTAAACACCAAGGTTTTGGACTGTAGCAAAGGCCATCGTTTAGGCTTTAGAGCTTCTGTATCGCCAGCAACAATTCCGAGGTTCTCGGATATGCACAAGGCGAAAACAGGCTGGGGGCGGTGGTCACAGGATTTTTTGAGAGGTGCGGGTGTTGTTTTGCTGGAGGTCGGGCCCACAGTCGGCAGTGAAGTGTTTGCATGTATCCTTCTGTTTTCGGGACATCTTGCGGGTTGGGAGGTGTGGGCAGTGCCTGAGGCAAATACGCATACCACCTCGCATAGGTTTCATGTAGTTGTGTGGCAAAGCCAAACCGACTATTCCACCACGAAGCGCATGACAGTTTTCTGATGTTCCTTTCGTGTAGTGTTTATGGCTCAGCTGCTTGGCCCCTAAACCCTAAACCCCCTTGAACACCTTTGCCAGATTCCTCGAACAGCAGCAGCAGCACCGATAGCGACGACGACGAGACGGATGCGCAGCCGCTGACGCCAGCATCGTGCCTTGGTGCTTCATTCCATCCAAGGGTAAAAGGAGGGACCATTAATAAGGACCCCTAGGTATTATATACCCTTAATATAGCAATTATATATCCATTATAGCCCGTTATAGGGTAGGCGTCCCCATTAAGGGTCCCTCCTTTTCCCTTTTGATTCCAGCGGCGGGAAGGCTTATGCTTCCTACAAGCATCGCAGATACTTAAAGGATCATGGGACTTAGTAACTAGGGTTATAATTAGGGCAGCTATACTTATAACTACTTAATAACCCCAATTAAGGTACTTATAACCTTACTTACTAAGTCCCATGATCCTCCAAGTACTACACCCCGAGAGCCAGAAAGGCAACTGAGCCGCTCCGTCTCTCCCAACGTGCCCGCCATGTCTAGTCTGGACTTAGGGGTACTTAGAAATATTATTTTTGGTTATTATAATCCCTAAGAAACAGCTAAAATTGTAATTTTTGCTAGGGTTCTAAGTTCAGTATAGTAGAATCCTTTTTGAGTGCAGATGTTGCGTCAGTT